TGCTTTGGGGCAGCTCAGTCCCGAAGCGGACGCAGAGGTCCCTCCCAGGTCCTAGTGGTGCAGGGTCCCTCCCGGGCCGCTGCCGGCACCCTCGCCCGCACGGCTTTGTCTCTGGCTGCGGCGGCCTCTGGGTCATTGTCTCCAAACCAGTCACCAACGAGGTCCCCAGGAAACTCAGGTTTTATTGGGAGTCTTCTTTGTCTAAAGGTCTTCAGTGACTTCCATTACCTTAGTCCCGTGTCCTTCTCGCGGCCGGTCTGGCCCTGCACGCTCCGCCTGCCTTTCGGTCTCCTGCAGCCGCTCAGCTCCTGAGCTGCACAGGGCGCGGTGCCAGGAGCTCACGGCACAGAAATCCAAGGAGGTCAAGCAGTTACCTGATGAAAACGTGATAGGTAGACACATGAGGGACGCGGGTGTGCATGAGACTTACTGGAGGGTGGACCAGGTGCGCACAGACTCTGGCTCACAATATTTCAGCGTCGAGCACGACGTGCGCATGTATAGTGCAAGGGCTAGGCGGGTGCTTTTCTTTAAGCAATTGAAAATATGTAATAAAGTTTGGTCATTTCATTCTGGGAGTGGAGGTTGTGGCTACATCGCCAGCAGATCGTTCACATGCCCAGGAAGAGCACTGGACAAACCCAGACTTTTCATCACTTAATACTTTTTCTGTCTCTGAGAAAGCATTAGGGTTGTTGACGTTTTCCACAAGTTTTCAAGCCCTACTCCGGCTCAGTTGAACCTCGGTTGAGCATTGTTCCATGCACCCATAAGTCATTGGTTGATTGCCAGTCAGGGCATATACCTGGGTTCTAGCTTGATCCCCAGTAGGGGGCATGCAGGAGCCAGTCATCGATGTTTATCTCTCCCTCTCTAAAAAAAAATTAATGCATATTAAAAAATGTTTTTCAAGCCAATTTGAGAAATTATCTTTGAACTCTCAACTGAGACTCACTTTCCTCTGTTCACCAGTGTGCGTGAAGTAGGCGTCTTAGCCCACTAAGGCAGCGGCTCACGCGTGGGGAGGTAGGTTTCCTTCCCACACAGAAATCTGTCCGTTTGCCCTGACTGATGGAGAGAACTCTGGAGTGTCACAGAGGCCAAGTGAGCCGTTGCAATTAAATGTTCTTCAGAGTTGCATTTAGTGTGGAGGCTGCTGATGTTTAGCATCCTGGCCTCTTGTGCCTCCCAGTCACCATGACAACCAGGGGTCCCTCAGGGGCCCTGCCTGCAGGTGAGAGCCCCCATTCTTGCAGGAATTGTTCCCAAATCCACAGAAAACAGTGGGTGCCTCAGACATGGGGACAGGAAGATAGTTTTTAAGTAAACACTCAATCATGATCTTTCTTCAGAAGGGCTCTCTCAACCCGCTTGTGTCTGGGGGAGGTGTGTGTGCTTGCCGCGGTAAACAGTGTCCTTGCCATTTACATGGCCAAAGGATCCTGCGTCCAGCGCTTACAAGGACAACCCGCAGAAACCACATGGGATGTGGGGAAACTGGTTCCCTTAGACTCGAGGTCGCCAGGGGGCAGTTCTGTTGTCTTCTCTGTTTGCTGGGTTTGCAGCGCCTCGCTCATGGCCCTTCGGGAGTAATGAGGTAGCAGTGGTTTGGGCGTCAGTGGGTCAGGTCCAGTTTTCCTACTGTAAAACCAGCCCTTTCTCAGGTAAAATGCACATTTGCAGTTGGTTGGCCTTTTGCAGTAACAGTGACATCTGACCTGCTTTTTAAATAACTTGCTGTGTGCAGGCTTTACAGGAACTGCTGCCTTTCATCTCTGCAGCCGCTCAGGGAGAGTATACTGCTCACCCTCCTTGGAGGGAGCTGGTTTCGGACACGCTCAGCCAGGCCCCGCAGCCTGCGCCCTGCTGCTGCTTGCTCCCTTCACGCTGCTGCTGTCGTTACTGCCAGCGCCTCTTGTAGCCGCTCCTGCGCTGGCAGCCTGGGTTCCCGCTCGTACTTACTCTTCTGCCCCCAGTTTGGAGACATCTGCTCCTGGCCAGTGTTTGATGCTTACACACTGTGAACTGTAATTACATCCGGAGAACTTGTTTTCCACCCCCCAAGATCACAGTTACAAGTAATATTCATTGGTAATGAGCTGTGGAGTGTGGGCTGGGTCGTCTCTGTTGGTGTTTTGTTGGACTTGGGTGTCTTCACTGCAGCTGTCAGCACAGTGGCTCCTGACCTTTTCTGGGTCACAGAGCCTTTGAGGATCTATTGAAAAAACCTCTCAGGAAATGGACAGACATGACTGTCCTTGATAGCTGTTCTTTTGTTGTTCATGGATCTGGAGTTAAGAACCTTACGTAGGTAGACTGAAATGTTTATGTGAAGCACGTAAAATTTGCTCATTTTTATTTTTTTAATCTATAGTTAATTCCCCCTGTGTGTTTATTCACTCCCTTTTATCAGCACTGTTGATGGTGCTGGCTAACTGGGTCAGTCATCAGTGGGAGAACAAACTGCAATGGAGGCCACTACTGTCCCCTTGGGGACGTCTCAGTTATGATTTTGATGCCAGAGGGTTCTGTATCTAATGGTGAGACCCTGGGACATCTGGTTGACAGGTTACACTGAGCTGAAGTGGAATCCCATCCAACTCTAATACAGGAAATGTGTAGCAATTTTCCCCAAAGCTTCTGCATATCTAGCCAAGCTTGGGCAAGAGAAGGAAATGTCCGAGGTACCAGAGTGCAGAGAGCATGCAAACCTGGAACAGCGCAGGATTTGAGAACCAGGTGTGGGCCTCGTGGACTGGAACAGTTTGAGTACCCAAGCTGGGACGGGGCAGTAGCGTAGACCTGTGTAGATCCAGGTCCACTGGGTCTGCCCAGCCAAGACAAGAAAATTGTCTGCCAGCCACTGGCCCAGAGCCCTGCGTGGTGATGTCACCCAGGGAGAAGGAGGGCCCAGGCCTTGGAGTCCACACTGTCTGCACCTGCAGGCTCCCGAGCTGAGGAGTGGGCCTAGAAACTGGCTGGAGTGTGTGTGGATTGCCAAAGGGAGCATGTCTGTAAGAGACCGGGCCTGTAAGAAACGACAAACCCTACCAAGAGCGCCACCTGCAGGGAGAGGAGAACTCACTCTAGAACAGGGGTAGGCAAACTTTTTGACTCGAGGGCCACAATGGGTTCTTAAACTGGACGGGAGGGCCGGAACAAAAGCATGGATGGAGTGTTTGTGTGAACTAATATAAATTCAAAGTAAACAGCCGAAACCGGTTTGGCTCAGTGGATAGAGCGTCGGCTTGCGGACCAAAAGAGCAGAAGAACAGGACCCCGTACGTCACAACCACTGTGTCTGCACACAGCGCCAAGGTGAGTGCCCATCCCTGCGCTGCTGTCACTGGTGAAGACAGCCCGGCCCTGTGCTGTGCACAGAGTTCACCTCCCTGGCTCCTGACGGGGTGCCCTAGCAGTGCCAGTGATGATGTCAGACAACTTGGCAAGTGCTTTCCATGGACCAAGTGTCTGCTCAGCTCAGTGCCTCTGCTGACCCCGTGGCCACACTGAAATCTCTTTAAAGTGAACTGTTTTTCTTTTCTTTTTTTTTTTTTTAAATATATTGGTGAAGACAGCCCGGCCCTGTGCTGTGCACAGAGTTCACCTCCCTGGCTCCTGACGGGGTGCCCTAGCAGTGCCAGTGATGATGTCAGACAACTTGGCAAGTGCTTTCCATGGACCAAGTGTCTGCTCAGCTCAGTGCCTCTGCTAACCCCGTGGCCACACTGAAATCTCTTTAAAGTGTACTGTTTTTCTTTATTCAAAAAAATATATGATTCAAAATTATAGATCTGCAGTAAAAGGTAACTTTGAAATCTTTTAAAAAACACATTAAGAAGCTTCAGGTATTGAACCAGCTTAACACTGGCACAAAGATAATTAGAAAAATTCACTGA